GTGTACTGCTTGAACTCATTGGCTCCGTCGATGACTTCAGTTCTGTAGGTGTGGAAGTCTTGTTCCACTGCTCACTTTGTGAGGCGTAGCTGCGGAAGTTGTCTTTGCGATCAGTGTAGCCTTGGTTGTAACGCCGGAAATTGTTTTGACTCAACATTGAGGAACTGATTCCGAGAGTAGTTTTTGGACAAGTTACCTTTGCCAATTTGGCCCGATCCACAATTTGTGAAGTTTTGGGATCTTGATACATAGCGAAGTTGCCATTTTGATTGTGCTTTCCAGAGGTTCATGCCGACTCTATCGAACAGAGAATGTGGGCAGAGGAGCAGAACTCACGGAGGTGTGTGGAGAGCATATTGGTGGCTTCAAGCTCAGCGAAAGTCGCCGTGTCGACGGCACTCAGCAGAGAAGATATTCATCAGCTACCTCTGTGTCTGTCATGTAGGACATTTGATATCAACTTTGAGTCAAGTCATGGAGTTAATGATCAAATATAATATTTCTATCAGCCTAGAATATGGGTACATTATTTTAATTAGTTTATGATACTAAATGCACTAAAATTAGTTTAGCACACTAAAAACACTTGAAAAAATAGTTTAGGATGCTTGGTACACCTTTACATTATATCTTTTGTCAAATTCAGTTTGGTCTCTTAATATTTAAAAAAATTATTTATAATTTTTTATTTCTAAAATTATTAATCTTAAATGATAACTTTTTATACTAATTATAATTGTCTTGCATTCTTTTTAGTAACATAATTATTTTAAAAACTGAACTTAATATATTAACATTTAAAAATATTTTATTAGAATTCAATAACTTATTATTATTTTCTTTTTTGTCAACAGTTTTAAGAGTTTCAAAGATAAATAACTAAAACTATACTTGATGCGATATGGAATAAGAAATAATTATGAGTTAATTATAATTCTAGGATATTTGCCTTTATCAGTACTTTGGCATTTTTCATTATCGGAGTTAATTGTTGTTCTCATTCTCGTTTTATTTTTATTGTTACCATAAGTAGTTTTCAAAGTTGGAAAAAAAAAAAAGTAGTTTTAGGGTTTTCATTACGTAGACTAAACTAAAATTATCATTGTTAGACTAAGCTAATTTTATAAAAGGAAAAAAGACAGAAAAATGCTATCTTAACTTCATAATGACCAGAACATCTGCTAAATTTGCAAAATGTCATTTTGGTCACATGAGACCAAATTGACATTATTATATCAAATGAAAAGACCAAATTGCCCTTCCTTTTAAATATTGTTTTTAAAGTATCACAGTCCTACTGGCCGGCCAATCACTGGAGCTCTGGTGACCGGTCAACAATTGGTCACTGAAGCTCCATTGGTCGAAAATTTTTTTTTAAAAAATTTTTGCAACTTCAGTATAATGGTTAACAATTTTTGTGATGCTATTAACAATTTCAGTATAACAGTTAACAATAGGTTTTCTGAAAAATTCAACAAGTTCCGGCGGCTGGAAATAAGTTTTTTGAAAATTTTTACAACTTTAGTATAACAGTTAACAACTTTTGTAACACTATTAACAACTTCAGTATAGCGGTTAACAACAAGTTTTTGAGGAAATTCAATAATTGGATGCCGGAGCTCCAGCGGTCGGAAACAATTTTCTTGAAAATTTTTACAACTTCACTGTAACGGTTAACAACTTTTGTAACACTATTAACAACTTTAGTATAGCAGTTAACAACAGGTTTTTTGAAAAATTCAACAAGTTCCGGTGTCCAGAAATAATTTTTTTGAAATTTTTTACAACTTCAGTATAACGGTTAACAACTTCAGTATAGCAGTCAACAACAGGTCTTTCCGAATATTAAAAAAAAAAGATTTTTACAACTTCAATAATGCCGTTAACAAACTCAAAAACTTGTTGTTAACTGTTATATCAAAATTGTTAATAGATATACAAAAGTTGTTAACCATTATACTGAAATTGTAAAAATTTTCAAAAAAAAAATAGTTGTTAAAGTTATAAAAATGCCATTTTTTCGGATTTTTAAGAAAACTTATTTTAAATGCTATACTAAAGTTGTTGATAGAGTTACAGAACTTGTTAACAACATTATTAAAATTATAAAAATGTTACTTTTTGAAATTTTTTGAAAAACTTATTGTTAACTGCTATACTGAAATTGTTAATAACATTATAAAAATTATTAATCGTTATACTAAAATTATAAAAAAAATTTAAAAAATTGTTTCCAGTCACCGGAGCTCTGGCGACCAATGGTTGAATTTTCCCAAAAACCTGTTGTTAACCGCTATATTGAAATTGTTAACAGCGTTACAAAAGTTATTAATCATTATATTGAAGTTGTAAAAATTTTTCAAAAAATTGTTTCCGACCATCAGAGCTACAGCGACCAATTGTTAAATTTCTCCAAAAACCTGTTGTTAACCGCTATACTAAAGTTATTAATAGTATTACAAAAGTTGTTAACTGTTATACTGAAGTTATAAAAATTTTAAAAAAAATGTCGGAACTCCAACAACCAATTGTGGAATTTCTCCAAAAACCTGTTGTTAATTGCTATACTAAAGTTGTTAATAACGTTATAAAAGTTGTTAACCGTTATACTGAAATTGTTAAAAATTTAAAAAAAAAATTATTTCCGGATACCGGAGCTTGTTAAATTTTTCAAAAAACTTGTTAACTGTTATACTAAAATTGTTAATAGCGTTATAAAAGTTGTTAACCGTTATACTGAATTTGTAAAAAATTTTAAGAAAATTATTTCCGACCGCTGGAGCTCCGACATCCAATTATTGAATTTCCTCAAAAACCTGTTATTAACCGTAATACTGAAATTGTTAATAACATTACAAAAATTGTTAACTGTTATATTAAGTTGTAAAAAATTTCAAAAAAATTATTTCCGAACACCGGAACTTATTGAATTTTTCAAAAAACCTGTTGTTAACTGTTATACTAAAATTGTTAATAACGTTACAAAAGTTAATTAACCGTTATACTAAAATTGTAAAAATTTTCAAGAAAATTGTTTCTAACCGCCAGAGCTCCAAAATCTAATTATTGAATTTTTCTAAAAACCTGTTCTTAACTGCTATACTGAAATTGTTAATAACATTACAAAAGTTATTAACTATTATAATAAAATTGTAAAACTTTCCAAAAAATTTATTTCCAACCGCCAGAACTTATTGAATTTTTCAAAAAACCTGTTGTTAACTGTTGTACTGAAATTGTTAATAGCGTTACAAAAGTTATTAACCGTTATACTAAAATTGTAAAAATTTTCAAAAAATTTTTTCCCCACCAACAGAACTCCGGTGACCAATTGTCTGCCGATCACCGGAGTTCTAGTAACTGCCATTGTCAGAGCTCCGACAACCGACTGACCAGTAGAGCTGTGATACTTTAAAAACAATATTTAAAAAAGACAATTTAGTCTTTTCATTTGATATAATAATGCCAATTTGGTCTCCCGTGACCAAAATAGCATTTTGCAAATTTAGCGGATGTTCTGGTCATTATGAAATTAAGATAGCATTTTTCTGTCTTTTTTCCTTTATAAAATCTATCCGATATAGTTCAGACACAGCACAGATGATTTCTTGAGAAAAGTTCAATTAAATTTTTCATAAAAAAATACATCTAGATCATTCTAAAATCAATTTTCACCAAACTGGGCTAATAGCATCATAAGCTAACTCAGGAACTCGAATTGAAGTAGCTTGCTTCCCTACAGCCACGATTTGCAAGTTCTTTTTTTGCAAGTTCTAGCATATTGATATCAAAGATCTAGCTCTGCTTGATTATTTATTCCTAGAAGACATGAATTGTATTTACCAGGAAACCAATTTGTGGGGAACTAATGAGTTCCAATATTGTAGCCAAGAATCATTCAAAACATTGCATGTAGAAAAATATGCTGCTTTATTCAAAGCTCCTAACTACATAGCTTGTTAGAAGTTTTCATATCATATGACATGTATACATATATAGACAAATAGATAACAATATGATCACAATTGATGAATATTTTTTGATTTATTAAAGACCAGGCACTAACATACTATCAAACTTGCAACTTTTCATTTATAAAAAAGCTTTCCTGCCCAGGCCACAATATTATTGGCCGCAATTCAAAAATTTTAAGATCCTAATCCAATGCAGTTAAATGCAGATTGAAAGACACAAAACAGCCAATTGCCTCATAGCCTAATCGCATGAAACTTTTTTGTGAGTAGGAGATCATCGCAAGTTTAATCTCACTTGCAATTCCAGATTATTAGTGCCTGACCCCTTAATGCAAAATATAGAAAGACACGACACAAAACCAAACCATAACTCTGCATGTCCTGCCCTGGCTCTACTTTACCAGTCATTTCAACCAGACACATAAAGCATAAAGGAACCATGGCAGCCATTGTATATTTTTGTTGCACCATGCTCGTATAATCTAACAGATTAAAGCTTATCAGATTATGAAAATTTGGTGCTTGCACATAATTAGCTTCTTCCATGTGAGATATAGAAGGAATCCAAGAATAGAACCCATGCCCAGTAGCCCTCACTTGATAGACTCACATATGAGATCCTCCATGACCTCATCCATTTATCAATGACGAAAAAAAAGCCAAACGAGCTAATATGCACAAGCGTATAATAAATCAAAAGCATACATAATACAAAAATTTGAAATTTTTTTTGGGGAAATCCAAAATTTATAACAACCATGTCATCTTAAGGAAATAATGAAAACTTAAGAGCTCCTTTTGTCCCTTCCATTACCTTTTCATCAGTGATCAAATAGTGAGAACAATTTGACTATCTGGCGTATATAAGGTTTTGTCCCTTTTCATTAGTGATCATCTCTTGTACAGAGAGAAACCTAGGCCTAATTTCCCAGCAGATTACTTGACACACACACGCACACACACAAGCTGTGTGAAAACACAGCAATTAGTCGTTAGATCAGCAAATGGTAGCAGCAACAGCAGCAAAGCAATCAGAGAACTTTGAAGGCTAATGGATCAAGTATTCCACATCACATTCAGACATAAAAATCCTCATCATTTTGCTTGGCTTTGTGCTGAAACCAAATCATAAGATAAACTCACAAGTGAATCCCGAGAAGAAGAGGAAACCATCTTTCTCAATGAGATTATTCTCTTTCTTACAGAATATAGAGTACTCAGCTACAAAAGAAACAATAAAAACGAAAAATCACAGAACAACCTTTCAAATGGGACCCCAAAGCTCCATGCCAGTGCTTATTCAACTAATTTTATCATGTTAAGCAATCTCCAAGCAGAAGAACAGCATTTCAAACACGCAATTTAAGTTATTTAGAACTCGGAACAAAGAAGGAATCAAGCATATTAAGTCACCCAGTCAGATTCTACATCGAAGTGTTGGCAGAACTCTGAAGAAAAGAAAGAAAGAAAGAAGAAACGATTTCTACACACAGCATCAAACGATTCTAAAACAGTAACAGTAACAGCAACACCTGTTTAAAAGCCTTCAGCAAGAAGATCATTGCACATAATATTAATAAGTATTTATGGAAAGACAAAATTTTCAGGTTACTTCAGCAATTTTTGAGCTTGAAAATACGAAAACTTCCTCGATAGAATTTATAGAAGGGAACTTTCTCTTCACCTCTTAACACAGAATCGCCGCCGCTACTTATCAGGGTTTAGGTGACTCATTGCTCCAGGGATCCGAATCAGAGGATCCATTTAACACAGGTAATCATTTATGTGGGCCGGAAACATTCTTTTGGGCCCATTCAATGAAGATACAATTTCATTAAAAATTAAATTAAAATATAAGCTTATATGAAAAAAATGCTTTGGGCCCACCTTCTATAATCTAGTGCGCGCCAAGAACCAAGGGGACGCGGAATCTCTGTTCCTCCGTTGCTGTTCCAAGTCTTCATCACCGTCGCCAATCGTGGTCCTCTTTGCCGTTGCCCACCGTCGGCCGGGTCGGCATCGTCATCTGAAGAACAGAGGTAAGCTTCCATTCTTCCATACCCACTGATTTCTCATTCTTTAAAATGCTTGAAAGGTCCTGGATGTTACTTTCAACCACACTTTTTTTTTTTTTAACGAGCTACCTGCGACCATACTAATGCCTGTATGATTACCATTAGTTAGTAATCAAAGAGGGAATATCTTATAGCCGAATGAGGTTTGGCATAAATTGTAATTGATTCAATCTCCAAAATGGATAAATATCCCCGGAAGCATTTCAGGATGAGACATATATAAAAAAAGAAGTTAAGGGAAAAAGGAATTGCAGACCTCTTACAAAAAATGTCCCCAGAAGCAATTTAACATTCTTCTTACAATAGCAGACTTCTTGATCGAAAATGCTCTCCCGCGCTTTTTGGAGTAATTTATACCCAGTACACACAGTAGCAGAGCCCTGCTTTTCTGCAAAACGGCGTCAATGCGCTAAGCGGAGGGATACACTGAAATAGATCGCCGAGAGAGGAAACGGCGTCGTTTTGAAGAGCGAGGGATGGATTTGACAAAACGGCATTGTTTTAGTATAACTGACGCGATCGTGGCCGTTCATTTCACGGTCATCATCTTCCCCGTCTTATGTAGGTGAGTTCGGTGCTGCGATGCAGTTCGACGGGTTCCGGTGTCGGCGATGGAGGTCGGCGTAAGGTGCTCGGCGAGCTTACTCTGATTATCCTTGACGGAAGCTGCTCACTTGCTTTTATATGTGGACTCTGGCGGGGTAAAGATACTGTTAGGAGAAAATTTTAAAGTCTATTCTGGCGCTCAAGAGCGGGACTGACGAAGTGTCCGTGTCTACACATGAACTGACTGGTCTTCTTCATGGCGGTGCAGCTAAGTAGAATATCAGACGCGTCCACCGTCACTTTGAAGTTAAAATAAAAATGATGTTTTTGGATTAGAGGTGGTTTGTTTTATCGCGCTTGGATAGTTTATATCAGACTTCATTTCGCAACAGGATTGTTCAAAAGAAATATGTCATCGTCTTCTTCTAACTACTACTGCGCATTGCTGAAACATTGTTGCGAAGTCCGGAACCACATCCAGGCAAAGAAGCTCCATTGCTACATAATCAAAACATTGAGAACCCCGGAAACCTTTCTGTTAAACAATCTCATTAGTACCTATGGTAAGCTCGGCAACAACGTCTACGCGCAGCGAGTGTTTGATCAAATGCCTGAGCCAAATCTCTTCTCATGGAATTCTATCCTTTCGACTTTTTCCAAATCAGGTAAAATTGCTGAGATGGTAGCTGTTTTCAATAGAATGCCAAGCCGAGATGTTGTGTCATGGAATTCGCTTATTTCTGGTTATGCTGGCATTTCCATTGTTAATTCAGTGAAGGCTTATAATTTAATGTTAAAGGAAGGATCCAACAATTTAACTCGCATTACCTTCTCTACAATGCTTATACTTGCATCGAGTCATGGGTGTGTTAATTTGGGACGTCAGATTCATGGGCATATTGTGAAGTTTGGTTTTCAGTCCTATGTTTTTGTTGGAAGCCCTTTGGTGGATATGTATTCAAAAACAGGCTTCATTTCTGATGCAAGGCAGGCTTTTGAGGAGATGCCTGAGAAGAATGTGGTTATGTTTAATACTATGCTAACAGGGCTGCTACGATATGGTATGATTGGAGATTCATGGCATTTATTTTATGATATGCGGGAAAAAGATTCTATTTCTTGGACGACAATGATCACAGGCTTCGCCCAAAATGGTTTGAATAAAGAAGCAATTGATTTATTCAGAGAGATGAGATTGGACAATTTAGATATGGATCAATACACATTTGGAAGTGTATTGACTGCTTGTGGAGGTCTTCTCGCCTTGCAAGAAGGCAAGCAAGTTCATGCATATATAATTAGAACTGACTATAAGGATAATATATTTGTAGGTAGTGCTCTTGTTGATATGTATTCCAAGTGTAATAGCATAAGAGCAGCAGAAACAGTTTTCAAGAGGATGGCCTTTAAGAATGTTGTGTCCTGGACTGCAATGTTGGTGGGTTATGGACAAAATGGTTACAGTGAAGAAGCCGTTAAAGTCTTCTGTGACATGCAAAAAGATGGAGTCAAGCCAGACGATTTCACTCTTGGAAGTGTAATTAGTTCGTGTGCCAACCTTGCAAGCATAGAAGAGGGTGCCCAATTTCATGGCAGAGCTCTGGTTACTGGTCTACTTTCCTTTATTACTGTTTCCAACGCTCTTGTTACATTATATGGAAAGTGTGGAAGCGTTGAAGACTCCCATAGGCTTTTTAATGAAATGAGTGTCAGGGATGAAGTCTCATGGACTGCCCTGGTTTGTGGATATGCCAAATTTGGTAAAGCCGATGAAACAATCAGGTTATTTGAAAGCATGTTAGCCCATGGTTTGAAACCTGATGGAGTTACTTTTATTGGGGTTCTTTCGGCTTGCAGTAGAGCAGGATTAGTAGAGAAAGGTAAACAAATATTCCAATCAATGATTAAAGAATACAGGATTGCCCCAATTCATGATCATTATAGTTGCATGATTGACCTTTACAGTCGAGCTGGGAGGTTAGAGGAAGCTCGAACTTTTGTAAACCAGATGCCTTTCAGTCCTGATGCAATTGGTTGGGCAACGTTATTGAGCTCTTGCAGATTCTATGGGAACATGGAAATTGGCAAATGGGCGGCTGAATCACTTCTGGAGTTGGAGCCACATAATACTGCTAGCTACATCTTGCTTTCAAGCATCTACGCTGCAAAAGGAAAATGGGCAGAAGTTGCCAAACTGAGAAAAGGAATGAGGGACAAGGGACTGAGAAAGGAACAAGGATGTAGCTGGATCAAATATGAGAACAGAGTGCACATTTTCTCTGCTGATGACTGGTCAAATCCATTTTCAAATCAGATATATTCTGAGCTTGAAAAACTGAATTACAAAATGCTGAAAGAGGGATATGTGCCTGATATGAACTCTGTTCTTCATGATGTTGAGGATTCAGAGAAAATTAAGATGCTTAATCACCACAGTGAAAAGCTTGCAATTGCCTTTGGGTTGATATTTATTCCTCCTAATCTTCCCATACGTGTGGTAAAAAATCTCAGGGTTTGTGGGGATTGCCACAATGCCACCAAGTATATATCTAAGATCACCCAGCGGGAAATTCTTGTGAGGGATGCTGCTCGGTTCCACTTGTTTAAAGATGGAACCTGCTCATGTGGAGATTTCTGGTGACAGGCCCGATTCCTACATCTATTTAACCAACGTTTAAAGAAGTTTATTTTGAAAAGCAAGGAAAACTGCAGGAGTCATTGTGAATTGGCCTATGAGGTTAACTTTCAAGATATGAATGAAATTATCATTTCTGCGTCTTTTAAAGCACCAAATTACAGCTACGGTTCCTGCTATTGATCTAGAGCTTTTAGCCATCTTGATTTGAGAAGGAGGAGACTCAGCAAATGCAGAATGTATGACCTTTTCAGAAGTTATCGGAAGCATGTGTTGTAGCAGCCGCTCAGTTTCTAATAATCTAACCAGAAAAGCCAAGTGACACATACTTGAGAAGAGTAACTTGGTCAATTCATATTTATTTATTTATTTATGTTGTGGTAAGTCACATTCTTCTTCCTCCTTCATCTCCTCTAATTTTCTCTCATGTTTGTGAGCTCAGCATGTAAGCGCACGCATGGTTAAACTGAGACTTGATAATTGTGCCGTTTCTTGATCAAACTAGAAGAAAACTTGAAACAATATATCTTTAACCGCAAATATAGGTAACATTGGTAAGACAAAAGATAAATGGATCAGTAAATACCATGTTTCCTGAATCTGTAGGAGTTCACACCTATTTATGGAAATATAATTTAGTTGTCACCGTACTTGGCATGGACAGTGAGACAAAATACTCGGGTGCTTATCATGGTTCATAACGTAGGGGGTAATAATACTTGTTTAGGTGTGCTAAAAGTAAGGGGGGCTAAGATGTTTAGGTATCATATGGCTGGCAAAGTTTCTCTGGCGATCTGGTTATAACTCATGAGGTATCCTTCACAGTTTAGTCTGACATCAATTTCTTCAGTCAACAAAATTTAGAAAGTTCAAAATTTTAATTTATCCTATTTCTGTGTATAATTTATTGTCTTTTAACTTATAGGTTGTAACCCTTTCCGTTTGAAGGGGGAAAAAAACGAAATGTGACTTTTTTCTTTAATTTTAACCCTGAAAGATTTCTTTACGATTTTTTTCCTGAAAAAAACTGTTTTCTGAGAGCTTTGCTTAGTTGGAGACAGAATAAGTCATTGTTACTGAAATCTTATCATGCTGGAACATTATGATTGTGCAATATTTTCCCAATAAACTGATTCTTTTTATGCCATTCATGCACATTTGTCCGTTTTCCAAGCATAGGGATTGAGCAGAAAATTAAGAACTTGAAGATGAAGTATTTTAGAGCCTTTATAAGTGTCGTATATAGCTTCTGACAAGCATAAGTGAAAATTTAATGTGAGTGCAATTGTCCAACTCAACTCTCAAAGGCATCGTCTTTAATAGAAAAATCGTGCATTTAATAAATTGTTAGATAAACTTCAGCTGATTCTTTGAGCAGTTCATGATTATCCTTGCAAAATCTGTGTTAATATTTTCATCACATAAGTAAATACTTACTTTCCAGTACAGGGCATATAGCTGATTGAAATATCAGGGCCCTTGGCAGGGAATAGGATGGGTCCAGGGTCCGTACCCATTGGGTCATTGCCTTCTAGGGTGTATAGCAGAAAGAACAAAAAGAATACAAAGAGAAAAATGAAAGGGTATCTGAGGAGAAGTTTAATCTGGACCTGGTAGAGATTCTAAACTCTCAAATGCCAGAGAACTCTTTTATTTCTTTTTTCTCATTGTTGTTTGCATTTTAATCTACTTTGGCTATTCTACCCTACGTTTCTATTCTCATTCGGATATAATTGTTTCACTGAATACTACACAGATTTTCTTTTGTCTCTTTTTTTTAAAAATATTTTGTAGCGATTGAAAATGGGACAAACTTGTTAAATAGAATCAAAGTATACAACCAACAAGTGACATGAAAGCAGCAATAAAACTAACCACAAAAAAATGCAGAGAGCTTTTTATATCTGTTCAATATGTACTGCATATGCTATTATTATTTCGTATATGCAAAAAAAAAAGAAAAAAGTTGAATTTGCTTCTGCTGAAGAGGAAGTACAAGGAGTGAATGCACGTGCAGCATATTGTAAATTTTGTAATTGTAATCCTTTCAAGGTTGCATGGATTCCATTTGACCTCGTTGTTTCTGCATCAGGTTCAGAAGATTTAGTACAAGAGAATCTTAGAAGAGCCGCAACAGTGACATGGTACGAGAGGAAACCAATAACTATTACCTGCAACTGATTACAAACTTCAATGACTTCAGCTAGAGGTGCCCAATCACCAAAGTTCCTCTCTATAAACTGGTACGCAATGCCTGTTTTTCCACTCCCTACTATAAAGAGTCCGCCCTTTATCTCACCTTGCCCTTTGAAGTTATTGTCGATTCCCATGGCCTTTGCACGCTTGTAATTGGCCAGTGCTCGGGGATTCAGTAAAAATCCTGATATGAACTTGTCCTTGAGCAGTTTTCCGCCACCAAGAGCTTTAAAGAAATCCCTACCTCGATCCAAAAGTACTATACCACCCCAGTATCGGGGCCAGAAATCCTTTACCTGCTCCACAACAATTAATAAGTCAAATAAAGAAGATTTTATTCCAGCAACAAACGTTTGAAGTCTGCTGATACCTCTGACTCTATGTGCTCGTGGAGAACTGCAAATAGTTTAACCCCAAGGGCATCAAATATGGGCTTTCTTGAAAAGAGCTGGTGTGCCTCAGCTCTACACATGATGCACCTGTTTTCAAGTTTAAGGAGCATAATTAGCAACATAATTCACTTTTGTCAATAGACAGAAACCTACGAAGTGTTCAAAACCTATTCGAATTGATTGGACCACACCAATCTAATCTAATTCAACCAAAATTGATCTCTTAAATGAATTATTTCGGATGCAAGATTTGTAGAACCGAGAGGTTTGATTTAATTGTTATTTCTCCACCTAAGAAAATTGATGACAGCTAAACCAATCAGGTAACCTCTTTTTTATTGTTGTTGTCATCGTCGTTGTCGTAGCTTTTAAATGATTATATATGTATTGCCTGTCAAAAAGCATATATACAAATCCTAAAATGCAAAGCATATCAAATCATCAAAATCAATGACAAGTAAAAAATTGCTTAATATGTGAGATATGGCTTGTATGTCTTTCTAATATGCGTAAAATACTTAAGACAATAAATCTAACTGAATAGATTAGAATTAAGATATATACAAGACAATGACAATAAAACATGCCTCAAGAGCTGCTTATATTCTCGCATTTCTGAATAATAAAATTGTGTGATTTCACCTTATTATCTTCCATCTCATGAATTCAAGATTGGTTAGTAAGCGATTCATATTATTGACTTTGTAACTTGTGACTAATTGTTAAATTTTGAATGATGAAACATACGATTTTGACCACTACTATATATACCGTAATTGAATTGTAAGAGTGGATCATTCATGTTTTAGTCTACTGTTATAGTTGTCAAATTTACGCTGGTCGTCGGAGACAGAGGATGACAGCTGGTTTATCTCGCCACAGTTCTGAAGCCTTCATTGGAGGTGTTTTTGTTTTCACTAATGGTTCCATTCCAATCTTATACTCTGGAGTTAGTCTCTGCACTGATATATTTTCAATAGCCGCATATGGAGCTACTTGGTCAGTGACAACAGGAGCTTGCACACAGCCACATACTCTAGGCTCAGCCGGCCCTGCAGCCACAATCCCTTTAAAGACGTGTCCATCTTTAATCTTTAGTTCAGCCAGTGATTGCTCAAGTGATTTATCAGAAGGTGTATTACTCCTTAGATAATATCTTTTCATGCTACTGGAGTTGTAAGGTGCTTGACTCTTGGTGATACTATCATCTCTGTAAAGTATGCTGGCTCTTTTCCTGGTAGGAATTGCACGCAGTTTAAAAGAATCATCACATTTAGTTCTGTCAACAAAACGGGCAATATGGCCTCGTTTCATGTCAAACTGGGCTGAAAGATCCATGGAGCTTAAGTTAAGGAGTTCAGGAAGATATTTTCCGGATGCCTCCATCTTCTCCGCATATTGCATCAGTCCACGATCATGTAGGTATGACCTCAATCCCAGTACATCCTGTACGTAAGTATGTAAACAGGGTTTTGTCTCAGTTTGTATGGGAGTACTTCTAAGAAGCTAATTGTAAACTTCAGTATGATAAAATATTTGCTAGTTATAGTTAGGTTTCTGTGGAGGATGATGATGAAATTTGACGAGGGAAACTGACCTTTTGCTGTTGTGTCATGTGCATTTCATTCATATCCTGTGCGTTCATCATCTTCATTGTTGGCACGTCATCCCAGCCTTCTTCCAGTAACTTTGGAAGCAACTCCTTCAAAACTCCATTTCCTATGAAATCCTCCACTGAGAAAGAGGCCATCCTTTTCTTCCCCTGATTGATTGATGTTTGATGTCCTTCTCATGGATGTGTCTAAGAGGGAAAGATTCGTTGATGTTAGCTTGTGCTATCATAAATATATAGGTCCTTCTCAAATCCAATAGCTATGCATTTGACCTGGCTTCAGGTGGGAGACGTGATTTATATGATCTGCTTTTGTAGAAATAGATAATAAATTCCACGTAAGAAAAGGCAAACCAATTCACTCAGCTTAGTGTTTTCCTAATCTTCTATTGTATGTTCCCCATCAAGGTTGCCAATATCCCATTGGCTTATGGAGGATTTTTTTATATTCTAAAAGATGTAAAAATGTAATGCTGAATTAAACAGAGCGTGTTGATCAATGAAATGAAAGAGTCTAGTGACTAGAAGGGAAAAAAACAAAGCTTGAGAAAAGAACAATGCATCGTTTAAAAACATTTGGCAGTTTGTACTAGTGGAGGTCCGGCAATGGAAATACCACTTGCCTTCTTGTTTAATAAAGGGGGAAAGCATGGATTTTTTATATTTCTTTTGGTGGAATCAGTTATGTGTTCGACAAATTAAGTAGCCTTAACACTCACAAACATCAGAGTAGTTTTCTTTTGCCGGCCAAAATCTGCTTCGAGCTCCCTAGAAATTGCCACTTGTCTATGTTACTTTGACTTGGCAAAAGGATATAATTGTGTACGAGATTTGTAAATTATATGGTTATGTTACATTCATTTATTCTGAAATCTAAATAGCATACACTCACTTTTGTAGGTACGGAGAATTTGGGGGTCCCCATTCGGTGCTCATCAGGTGATGAGCATTGGTGCTCATCACTTGATGAGCAATCTGGACCGTCCAAATTAGATCTGGACGGTTCAGATGTAATATTATTAAATAATTATTTTAAAATAAAAAAATTATATTTTTAAAGAATGATAGTTAAGAGATTATTTTTATTTTTTATCCTATACCTATTAAAATAATTATTTTTTAAAAAATAAAAATAAAAATAAAAATAAATCTGAACCGTCCAGATCAGATTTGGACGGTCCAGATCTGATTAGTATTGGATGCTCATCAGTCCGAATTTGGACCGGGTTTGGCTACGCTTTCATGCCTAAATTTTATTTACCTCATATGCATTAATAAAGTTGGCTAAAATTAGCTTTTTTTTATTAAATATGTTCCAAGTTTTTTTTTTTTAAATTCAACTTTGCCCTTAATAATGAACGCTTCTCTTTCTTTGCTTATTAATTTCTGACATAAATATTTAGTGATATATTTGGAAAAAAAAAAAAGAAATTAACATCATAAGTTGACTTTTTCCCCCCTCCCCAGCAATCATGAAAGGTGACTAACATTTAAGAAATTAAGACTCTAAAAAAATGGCTTGTTTTTTGGAACAAGGAGTAGTATTTTACAGGCTTCTAATCGGGAAAAAAAAATTAAATACCATATTTTACAATATTTGATCGGTGAATCCCATTTGTCATTACATAGTTACATGTGGTTTAATGAATAACATGTTCATTTTTTTAAATGTACACCAAAGGTATTCCTCTGCTGATAACTAAGGACTAATCCCCTTTGAGGCATAGAGATTACTAAAGTACGACTTACCGCTCTCAACAAGATCTTTTTCATATGCATGGTCATGAATATCGAGTTGTTCTTGCTTTTATTCTCCAGGTTTGCACCTTGAAAATCCAAATCCAAGTTTAATGCATACCCAATAATAGTTGTCCTGAATTCCAGTAAAATAGACCGACAAGTCTAGTCCCACGAAGACAAGGAATGACTTAACATGAAGGAAGATAAATGAGATATTGCGACAATGTATTTCACAACTTTCTTCATGCTTTCCTTTTTGATCTTCTTCCCTCTTCATTGCTACATTGTTTTCCAGCCACATGGTGGTTCCACTACAGAAAGAAAATAACGGTCAGATTGGGACATTCAACTGTACTGAAATGTCTCTGATGCCTTCAAGCTGATTTGCATAACTGGCACCAGATCTCGGAGAAGAAGATAACAACAAAGAAAGTGAAGATGAAGATGAAGATGAGGTGTACTGGTTAGGAATTGAGAAGTAGATGCAAAGAGTCAGAACAAAGAAGAGAAACGCTCATGGACGTTTGTTATGTGGGACCTACACATGGTTTCTTTTAGGCGAGTTTTGTATTTTATGAAACATAGAATCTATTGTCATGCTACACGCTTATGTAAAAATCATGTGTTCAAGGTTAAAAAAAGTTGTTTTGTGTGAGCATTGAACCTCTCAAATTTGGAGTATAAAATTGATATACTTGACTACTTCAGAAAGCACAATACCCCTAAATAGATATCACATAACAAAGAGCAGTTAGACAATAAAGAAGTAATAAAAATGGCCGTTTAGATAACAAATACAACAGAGCAACAAATATTACCTATGTCAATATCTGTGTGGGGGAAATGGTGTATCTCTCTATTTTCAACCCAATCAAGGCACAAGAGTATTGACTCTGTTCGCAACCACAGAAGGCAAACTACTTTTGACCGAACCGCAATCGGTAAATTGTAACTTACCCAAATATGATTTCACTTTAATTCTAGGTTTTGATGATTTTCTGCTTTAAAAACTCAAGCAATTGTTCTAGTTCCGCCATCAGTAAGGGTAGAAGCAAAACACCTCTTGGTCAGTCCTTCCCAAGCGGACTACGATTGGCTTCTCTTCTGACACACTGGAGTTATCTCAAAAATGATTACCAATTATCTAATCATCTCTTTTCTATTAACTTTGCCTCTACCTCTCACATCAGCAATGAATTCCAAGCACCTGAAACACAGCTCGAAAAACACCCCAGCTATGTATGTTTTCGGTGATTCTCTCTTTGAAAATGGGAATGGTTGCTATCTTGGGGTTCCCACAAATGAAGCATGTTTTCTTCCTTATGGTATAGATTTTGGTGGCAAACCTACTGGCCGATACACAAACGGCAAAACAGTGGTTGATTACCTTGGTAAGACACACCTCCAACTTCATTATTTTCCAAGATCTTAGCATTCTCTGATCCACCCAAGGATAGTTTCATTCTGATGCAGAATTTTGCATTTGCCCACAAGTTAATCCGTGTTTCATATGTTATGCAGCTATACTTCTTGGGCTACCGTTCCCCCGTGCCTACCTAGGCCTTTCAAAGCATCAAAGAAGCAAAATCGCTACGGGGATTACTTATGCATCTGGTGGTTCTGGAATTCTACAAGAAACCAACAACGTAAGAGTCTTACTCTCACCTCTTTTCACTAATTCATCACCAGCACTGTTTTATGTTTGTTTTAGTTCTTGCTCTTAGCCTACTATTTTATAATCTTTATTTGCAGGAGACAAGTTTGACATTACCCATCCAACTAAAGCTCTTTAAGAGAACTGTTCAAAATGACTTACCAAAGATGTTCAAGGAGCAAGTAGTGTTGGAGAGGCATCTATCCGAATCCTTGTTTGTTATCAATGCAGGGGTCAATGACTACGGCCAGATTAAAAACAAAATCTTGCCTTCTCCTAGCTCATTTGCTCTGTTCCTGTTAAAAGAATTTTCCAGACACCTGCAGGTAATATTTGTTAATCTTCACGTTAATAATACTGGATTTTTGGAGTGAAATAACACTTTTACCCCCTTTTCTCCTCCTTTTGGCCTTAGCACTTTAGTTAATGAACGTGTCTTGTAGGAATGTGCAGAACTTCAAAATTACATGTTAATGGTGGGGGGGAAAACATGTTTATAAATTTTGTCAAGATCAATGATATCAGTTATTAAAAAGCTTCGTATCACCACAAATGACACAACTTTCTCTTTGCTAGATTATGACAATCCTCGTTATTCTTCGCATGTTCCTCTGCCCAGTAAATATATCCGTGGTTCAAAACCAATATCTCAATTATTCATGATGCGTGAACATAAAAGGAAAACTTTTTATCTTTTCTTCTAAATAATGGCAGGAACTGTACATAATTGGAGCAAGAAAGTTTTTGGTGAACAATATTCCTCCAGCAGGGTGCTTTCCATCAATTGCTGCCCGCATGACACCAAAAGGAAATTGCAACGAAACAATGAATAGGAGGATTAATTCTTACAATAAGAGGCTCCCCGGAGTGCTACGTCAGTTGCAGTCTCGGCTTCCTGGCCTTATCTTTGTACATTCAGATATTAATAGGTTCCTCATGGAGATGAGGACCACTGCACACAAATACGGTACATAGAAAGCCAAATGCATCAGGCAGTAACTCATAAGATTGTCATAGCATAGTTGACCAATGATTTGATGAATAACTGCTTGCCTTTGCAGGGATATTGGATACATGGAAGCCTTGCTGCCCTAATAGCATTGATGGTGATCTCAGGTGCCATCGCAACACTATTCCTTGTGGAAACAGAAACACTCACCTTTACTTTGATGATCACCCAAGTCAGATCACAAATGACATACATGTAAGACGCTGCTTCAACGAGACAACAATTTGCAGGCCCTTGAGTCTCAATCAACTTGTGCATGCCTAGCAGCCAGTGACACTGATGCAATATTTTGATCAGTTGAATTCTGCTGAGATATTGAGAATCTTGCATATTAAGAGTAACATGCTATGAGGTATAATGTACCTAAGTTATAGGTGTCTTCGTATGGTTATACCACTGGAATAAATAAAGTCTGAGGGATAATTTAATAATCGATGGATTGACTATAATACGCAGAGCAGCATATAATTATTATTATTATTATTTTTTTATTATACGAAAAAAGAAGTTCTGATTGAAGCCAAATGAATTTAAAGATATTAGGATAGATCAGGAAGTTACAAACAAGAGTCACATTTCCTAGTTTGGTAATACGGAATATGGAGGAATGGGTGAACATGTCTATCCTATATTTCACAGATACCAATGTCTCCAAAAAAAAAATGAAGTGAAAATTTGAATACATGGTGATCAAATCCTAAATTACACAATTGTCTGAAGAAAAATACCAACAAGAGATCATAATATCAACCTCTTGGGAGAGAATTGAAACAAAAATTTACTAGAAAACAAAATAGAGAAAATTCTAGTCGGAAATTATATCAGGGCAAGCAAATCACCTGTAATTAATTGAGCCAGTTTTCCTGACTATGCATTGAACAAGATGAATATTGTCCTTCAGAGTCACTTAAATTTCAGAAATGGAGATTTTTTTTTTTTTTTGACCGAAGAGAAATGGAGATTCATACTCTAATATCTGTGGTATTTACAATTATTAGTATTATTAATCATGTTGAAAGTAAAAATTTCCTCACCAGCAGGAAATCTGATTAAACTTCACCCAGTTTACATAGTCAGCAAAGGCTAAAGGTAGAGATGGACTTCATACTTTCATTTCCAAGTAGATCCAATTAGAGAGCCAGAAGGAATGCAGTGAGCCATCTCATTGGCTATTCTGAAAGTAAACCAGTTTTAGTCATTTCAGCAAGTAGTTGGGAAGCTGAACCATGAACCCCGCTTTCAGAAAATGCATTTAGCATCGTCTTGCAAAGTTCTTCATCGGGAGAAATACCGTTTGATAACATCATGGAAAAGATATATTTTGCTTCAGCAATAAAGCGTCTTTTGCACAATCTATTGATTACAGCACTATAATCACTGATTGAAATTTGAAATCGCTTTTCAATCATTTTATGGAACAAAAGAACAGCCCTGTGCACATCACCTTTTGCACAATGCGCTTTTATCATTACAGTGTAAGCAACTTTGGACAAACAGACATTCTGATCTTCAAGAGCAATTAGCAGTCTATCAGCATATTCTGGGCCACCATTAATGCAAAGGCCATTGATCAAAACATTATACGTTGCAGGAGTAGGCTCCAGTTTCAGCCTTAACACCTCATTAAACAATTGGAAGACTTTTTCCATGTTGTGACCCTTACAGAAATACTGGATGACGGTATTATATGTAATTTGATCAGGATGTAAACCCTTGGAGTGCATATCATTAAGCACTTGGAGGGAATCATTCAGCCTGCAATTTTTGCAAAGAGATTTGATAATTACAGTATAAGTAATGTGAGTTGGAATTACATTATTTGCTTCCATCTCTTGTAGTAATTCAATCACGCCCTGCATATATCCAGCTTCACACAATGCAATCATAAGAGTGGTGTAAGTTATGGCATTTGGCAATAGGTCATAACGTCTAATGTGTCGAAACAAATTTCTAGCCTCCCCTAAGTTCTTTTTCTTGCAGAATCCATAAATCATGGAGTTGAAAATAACAATAGTAGGAGCAATTCCTTTCTCAATAACTCTTTTGTACAACTGTGAAGCCTCCTCAATATTGCCAAACTTCACATATCTGCCAATCATAATATTATAAAAAACTATATTCTGTGGTTCATTGCTCGTCAGATCTTCAAAATTTCTAGCCTCCATTGTTATTCCATTTTCGCACAAAGCTACCAGAAAAGAACTGTGAATGAAAGAATTTGGGAAGAATCTGTTAGAACAGATTTCCCTATAAAACTTTAAAGCACTCTGGACTTCTCCTAGCTTGCAAAGCCCATGAATCAGAACAGAATATGTTATGAGATCTGGTTTCAGGCCTGAAGTTTCCATGTCATAGAACAATCTTAGTGCTTCCTCAACACGTCCAAATTTGCACAAGCTACTGAGTAATACACAGTATGGAATGAGACTCAACTGAAATCCAAGAGAAACCATCTCCTCCAGCAACTTCATACCTTCATCAATATTGCCCATCTGACAATGCCCACAAATTGGTATTGTATACGAAACAACATTAGGATTTAATCCAGCCAACAACATGTCCTGAATGAGCTGCCAAACCCCATCTATTAAGCCAAGCAAGAGAACCCCTTTGAGGAGAATGTTGTAGGTTGCTATATCGGGCTTTAACCCCTGATTTTTCATGTGGTCCATAAAATTTAGAGCTTCCTCCATGGAACCAGCTATACACAAACCATGAATTAAAATATTGTAACTATATGCATCAGGAAACAGACCTTGCTTAAGCATCATACAGAACAAAGATTTTGCCGCATCTACTAAACCCGATTTACAAAATCTTGACATAATTGTATCGAAGGAAACGATAGAAGGGCCAAGTCCATTTGCCTTAGAATTCCTCAAAAATAGAATGGCATCTTCTAGCCTAGCCTGCTCACACAGGCCACCTATGAGTATAGAGCTAGTATACTCGTTTTCACAAGCCCCATTGTGCCTCATTTTATTTTAGATATCCCAAAACATTTCACTATGTTTTAAGTTATGCAACAAGCTATTATAGGTAGGTGTAGAAGCCGGAAAATTTAAATCTTTCATATATGCCAGAACAAGCAAGGCATCATTAACCATCTTATATCTTGAATAAGCAAAAGCCACTGCATCCCATACCACACTATTTGAGTCCCAGCCCCTGAAACTCCTCACGAGCAGCTCACAAAGTAAGGGAGCAGAACCAGAACCTATAAGAAATAGTATAAATTAAAAAGATTTTTAATAAAAAAAAAAGAACCAAAAAAAGAAAAAAGAAAGGAAATCTTAATTAAAAGCAATATGCATAATAATAAGGACAGAAGAAATGATCTATAACATTTTCTAACCAGATAATATATTACATTGATCTTAAAAATGAAGTTATCGAATCTATATAGTTGATATGGATTTCAGTTTAAAAACTGATTTATGGAGAGCAACAATCTGCATATAGCTTCTCGACCCTACAAGATCGTTTCGAAGACTTTAACAATAAATTTTTTCTCTTTAAGTAACATAGATTTGAATCAGTTTCTGTCTCTTACTTAACCACCTCTCCCTTTAATGTTGCTGGTTGATTGGCTTCCTTGGGTCTTTAACAATATGATTCTTTTGATATCTAAACCTCCCCTCCCCAACCCTACTGAGTTGAATCTGTTACTGCACAGTGATTCGTCAAATCTGTTGCACCAACTTGTTGCAAGACAATAAGTGCAGAGCAGAGTGAGTAGAGAACGCCCATGCAATGAGTAGTGTCTAGTAGAATCATCTTTAAGTCAATAAGAAAATATTGTCAGGGATTTCGGGTTTGGTTGAGGCGCGTGATTTAAGCGTACCATTAAACCAGTTATACTTTCAAGTTACTTTATTGGAAACCTTCTGTTTATCTGTTGTCTTTGATCGTGAATGTAGACAAAAGGATCGACCAGATTGTGTCCTGAGTTAAGTTTACCAGCCACTTTGACTATTTCCAGCCAATCTGCAAAACCATATAGTGCCAAAGTATTTGGGATGAAATTCGGGTACTGGTTCTGTGGGCCAATTTTCATTTGGTTGGAAGGAGTAAACCGCATTTCACTAAACCAAGGTGCAAACTAGCCTATGCTTGAGGATAGACGTTTGTAGATAGATATCATTGTTAGATAGTTAGTTCGCCGCCGTGAACAACTAGTTTCTCAGTTACCTATTCGAGCTTGGATAAATACCACTAAACTGCAACCATTAGACCAGTAATTAAATTTGGAACAGATTTTGCTTCCTCTCACTCACTCTAAGTTCTCTCAACCTGCTCCTAAGTTTATCATACCTGAAACACAAATAAATGATTTCCAAAGCAGACCATGCAGTCGTACCTTCCTGTACAAGTATTTGCTTTATGACCAACTGCAGGTCCCCAAACCGTCTTCGATTTGCTAAAACATGCGCAACAACAAACTGGGAATCCCTGGAGCAGTTCATGATTATCCTTGCAAAATCTGTTTTAATATTTTCATCACATAAGTAAATACTTACTTTCCAGTACAGGGCATATAGCTGATTGAAATATCAGGGCCCTTGGCAGGGAATAGGATGGGTCCAGGGTCCGTACCCATTGGGTCATTGCCTTCTAGGGTGTATAGCAGAAAGAACACAAAGAATACAAAGAGAAAAATGAAAGGGGATCTGAGGAGAAGTTTAATCTGGACCTGGTAGAGATTCTAAACTCTCAAATGCCAGAGAACTCTTTTATTTCTCTTTTCTCATTGTTGTTTGCATTTACTCTACTTTGGCTATTCTACCCTACGTTTCTATTCTCATTCGGATACAATTGTTTCATTGAATACCACACAGATTTTCTTTTGTTTTTTTTTTTTTTTAGTGATTGAAAATGTGACAAAATCGTTAAATAGAATCAAAGTATACAACCAGCAAGTGACATGAAAGCAGCAATAAAACTAACCACAAAAAAATGCACACAGGTTTTTATATCTGTTCAATATATACTGCATATGCTATTATTATTTCGTGTATGGGGAAAAAAAAAGTTGAATTTGCTTCTGCTGAAGAGTAAGTACAAGGAGTGAATGCACGTGCAACATATTGTAAATTTTGTAATTGTAATCCTTTCAAGGTTGCATGGGTTCCATTTGACCTCGTTGTTTCTGCATCAGGTTCAGAAGATTTAGTACAAGAGAATCTTAGAAGAGCCGCAACAGTGACATGGTACGAGAGGAAACCAATAACTATTACCTGCAACTGATTACAAATCTCAATGACTTCAGCTAGAGGTGCCCAGTCACCAAAGTTCCTCTCTATAAACTGGTACGCAATGCCTGTTTTTCCACTCCCTACTATAAAGAGTCCGCCCTTTATCTCACCTTCCCCTTTGAAGTTATTGTCGATTCCCATGGCCTTTGCACGCTTGTAATTGGCCAGTGCTCGGGGATTCAGTAAAAATCCTGATATGAACTTGTCCTTGAGCAGTTTTCCGCCACCAAGAGCTTTAAAGAAATCCCTACCTCGATCCAAAAGTACTATACCACCCCAGTATCGGGGCCAGAAATCCTTTACCTGCTCCACAACAATTAATAAGTCAAGTAAAGAATATTTTATCCCAGCAACAAACGTTTGAAGTCTGCTGATACCTCTGACTCTATGTGCTCGTGGAGAACTGCAAATAGTTTAACCCCAGGGGCATCAAATATGGGTTTTCTTGAAAAGAGCTGGTGTGCCTCAGCTCTACACATGATGCGCCTGTTTTCAAGTTTAAGGAGCATAATTAGCAACATAATTCACTTTTGTCAATAGACAGAAACCTACGAAGTGTTCAAAACCTATTCGAATTGATTGGACCACACCAATCTAATCTAATTCAACCAAAATTGATCTCTTGAATGAATTATTTCGGATGCAAGATTTGTAGAACCGAGAGGTTTGATTTAATTGTTATTTCTCCACTTAAGAAAATTGATGACAACTAAACCAATCAGGTAACCTCTTTTTATTGTTGTTGCCATCGTCGTTGTCATAGCTTTTAAATTATTATATGTATTGCCTATCAAAAAGCATATATCCAAATCCTAAAATGCAAAACATATCAAATCATCAAAATCAATGACAAGTAAAAAATTGCTTAATATGTGAGATCTGGCTTGTATGTCTTTATAATATGCGTAAAATACTTAAGACAATAAATCTAACTGAATAGACTAGAATTTAAGATATATACAAGACAATGACAATAAAACATGCCTCAAGAGCTACTTATTTTCTCGCATTTCTGAGTTATAAAATTGTGTGATTGTACCTTATTATCTTCCATCTCATGAGTTCAAAACTGGTTAGTAATCGATTCATATTATTGACTTTGTAACTTGTGACTAATTGTTAAATTTTGAATGATGAAACATACGTTTTTGACCACTATTATATCTACCGTAATTGAATTGTAAGAGTGGATCATTCATGTTTTAGTCTACTGCTATAGTTGTGAAATTTACCCTGGTCGTCGGAGACAGAGGATGACAGCTGGTTTATCTCGCCACCGTTCTGACGCCTTCATTGGAGGTGTTTTTGTTTTCACTAATGGTTCCATTCCAATCTTATACTCTGGAGTTAGTCTCTGCACTGATATATTTTCAATAGTCGCATATGGAGCTACTTGGTCAGTGACAACAGGAGCTTGCACACAGCCACATACTCTAGGCTCAGCTGGCCCTGCAGCCACAATCCCTTTAAAGACGTGCCCATCTTTAATCTTTAGTTCAGCCAGTGATTGCTCAAGTGATTTATCAGAAGGTGTACTACTCCTTAGATAATATCTTTTCATGCTACTGGAGTTGTAAGATGCTTGACTCTTGGTGATACTATCATCTCTGTAAAGTATGCTGGCTCTTTTCCTGCTAGGAATTGCACGCAGTTTAAAAGAATCATCACATCTAGTTCTGTCAACAAAACGGGCAATATGGCCTCGTTTCATGTCAAAGTGGGCTGAAAGATCCATGGAGCTTGAGTTAAGGAGTTCAGGAAGATATTTTCCGGATGCCTCCATCTTCTCCGCATATTGCATCAGTCCACGATCATGTAGGTATGACCTCAATGCAAGTGCATCCTGTACGTAAGTATGGAAGAAAAGTTGTCTCAGTTTGTATGAAAGTACTTCTAAGAAGCTAATTATAAACTTCAGTATGATAACATCTTTGTTAGTTATAGCAAGGTTTCTGTGGAGGATGATGATGAAATTTGACAAGGGAAACTGACCTTTTGCTGTTGTGTCATGTGCATTTCATTCATATCCTGTGCGTTCATCATCTTCATTGTTGGCACGTCATCCCAGCCTTCTTCCAGTAACTTTGGAAGCAACTCCTTCAGAACTCCATTTCCTATGAAATCCTCCACTGAGAAAGAGGCCATTCTTTTCTTCCCCTGATTGATTGATGTTTGATGTCCTTCTCATGAATGTGTCTAAAAGGGAAAGATTCGTTGATGTTAGCTTATGCTATCATGTATATATAGGTCCTTCTCAAATCCAATAGCTATGCATTTGACCTGGCTTCAGGTGACAGACGTGATTTATATGATCTGCTTTTGTAGAAATAGATAATAAATTCCACGTAAGAAAAGGCAAACCAATTCACTCAGCTTAGTATTTTCCTAATCTTCTATTGTATGTTCCCTATCAAGGTTTCCAATATCCCATTGGCATATAGAGGATTTTTTTATTCTAAAAGACATGTGAAAATGTGATGCTGAATTAAACAAAGAGTGTGTTGATCAATGAAATGAAAGAGTCTAGTGACTAGAAGGAAAAAACAAAGTTTGAGAAAAGAACAATGCATCGTTTAAAAACATTTGGCAGTTTGTACTAGTGGAGGTCCGGCAATGGAAATACCACTTGCCTTCTCGTTTAATAAGGGGGAAAGGATGGATTTTTTATAATTCTTTTGGTGGAAATCATTTATGTATTCAACAATTTAAGTAGCCTTAACAGTCACAAACATCAGAGTAGTTTTCTTTTGCCGGCCAAAATCTGCTTCGAGCTCCCTAGAAATTGCCACTTGTCTATGTTACTTTGACTTGGCAAAATAATATACTAGTGATTGTGTATGAGATTTATAAATTATATGGTTATGTTATATTCATTTATTCTGTTTTTGATACATACATTCATTTATTCTGAAATCTGGATAGCAAACACTCACTTTTGTGGGCACAGGGAATTTGGACTGAGTTTAGCCATGCTTTCATGCTTAAATTTTATTTACCTCGTATGCATTAATAAAGTTAGTTAAAATTAGCTTTTTTATTAAATATGTTCTAAATTGGTTTTTTTTAATTCAACTTTGCCCTTAATAATGAACGCTTCTCTTTCTTTGCTTATTAATTTCTGAAATAAATACTTAGTGATAAGTAAAAATATTTGGGGGAAAAAAAAAGAAATTAACATCATAAAGTTGACTTTTTTTTTCCTTCCCAACAATCATAAAAGGTGACTAACATTTAAGAAATTAAGACTCTAAAAAAATTGCTCATATTTGGAACTAGAAGTAGTATTTTACAAGTTTCTAATCCGGAAAAAAAATTAAATACCATATTTTACAATATTTGATTGGTGAATCCCATTTGTCATTACATGTGGTTTCATGAATAACATGTTCATTTTTTTTAAATGTGCACCAAAGGTATTCCTCTGCTGATAACTAAAGACTAATCCCTTTTGAGGTATAGAGATTACTAAGGTACAGCTTACCGCTCTCAACTAGGGGTGCACATGGGCAGGGCTGGGCAGGGCAGAACCCCTGCCCGATGCCCAGCCCGAAACATGAACGGGCTGCATTTTGCAGCCCGCTGCCCGGCCCTGCCCATAGAAGCCCTAACCATTTTGGGCTGGGCATGGGCGGGCTGGGCAGGGCGGGCTTTGCTGCCCAAATGATGATGACCTACCGATATCACATGTAAAAAAATTTCATCCATACCTAAAAATTACATTTCATAATTTTATATTTTCACACATTAAAATTATCCAAAAATAATTCAAAACAAGTCTTAGCAAATATCCAAATAAATAATATTCATAATCTATTTAGAACAAAACAACTCTCAAGATTGTAATTAAAGTCTTGAAATTCAAACGGTTTGCATTAATCTCTAGAAAGTTGAGAAAAGAATAAAACATCTGAAAAAATTGAAGAGGGGTTGAAGCACATTGAGATATTCCATTGGGAGCCAGGGATGGCGATGTAATAGAAACTTGATTATCCATTTAAGTGGCAAAAATTAAATGTTACCTAAAAGATTGTAAAAAGATATTAAAACTGAAGTAATGGGCTAATAGGAATAACATAGACCATATAAAAATGAGGTGAAAATAATTGTAAAAAGAAAAATAAAAATAATCTCATAATAATTTAATATAACGACTTTTAATATGTAAATACTTATTATGCGATACAATGCAGCTAGCAGTCCATACAACTAAAAGACTTCTTTCTATCATATGACTTGTTCATAAAAAATTAATACAAAATAACTAAATATAAATCAAATAGAAAACATGTAATTCAGATAATTAAACCCCAATTTTCTTTCCATGCTCCTACCCCAATCTTGTTTTCTATCTTGCATAAATATTCAAAATTGTTTATTTATACAAATATGTAATGTATGAACTCAATTCTCTAACAAAGAAAGTTGTTAATGACATAGAGGGGAAGATTGACTTATAAATAGCCAACACTACAACAGCAACAAACAATAGGATATACACAATAAAACTCACGAATAACAAGTTAAAAGCAAGATACTACTGCTTCTTTAGAAGAATTAGATCCCTTAAAATAGAAAACTAATAGACATGTAATAATAATAAGTTAAATTGCAAAAAGGAGGGAGATAACTTTTTTTTTAGGTAAAGAAATGTAATATATTAATATTATTTTATAAATTATAATATATATAATCTGGGCAGGGCCAAATGGGCAGGGCAGCATGTCCTGCCCGATGCCCAGCCCTGCCTATGAAATGCCCAGCCCAAAGATGCCCATTCTTTTTCGGGCTCTTTTTTTTCGGGCTGGGCTGGGCAATTTTTCTTCGGGCTCGGGCGGGCTTTGCGGGCATTTGGGCTTCATGCACACCCCTACTCTCAACAAGTTCTTTTCATATACATGGTCATGAATATCGAGTTCTTGTTTTTATTCTCCACGTTTGCACCTTGAAAATCCGAATCCAAGTTTAATGCATACCCAATAATAGTTGTCCTGAATTCCAGTAAAAATGGACCAACAAGTCTAGTTCCACGAAGACAAGGAATCACTTAACATGGAGGAAGATAAATGAGACATTGCGACAATGTATTTCACAACTTTCTTCATGCTTTCCTTTTTGATCTTCTTCCCTCTTCATTGCTACATTGTTTTCTAGCCACATGGTGGTTCCACTATAGAAAGAAAATAACGGTCAGATTGGGACATTCAACTGTACTGAAATGTCTCTGATGCCTTCAAGCTGATTTGCAAAACTTGGAGTTACGCACCAGATCTCGGAGAAGAAGATAATAACAAAGAAAGTGAAGATAGAAATGAAGATGAAGATGAGGTGTACTGGTTAGGAATTGAGAAGTAGATGCAGTGAGTCAGAAAAAAGAAGAGAAACGCCCATGGACGTTTGTTATGTGGGACCTACTCATGGCTTCTGCTAGGCGAGTTTTGTATTTTATGAAATATAGAATCTATTGTCATGATACACGCTAATGCAAAAATCATGTGTCCAAGGTTAAAAAAAGTTGTTTTGTGTGAGCACTGAACCTCTCAAATTTGGAATATAAAATTGATACATTTGACTACTTCAGAAAGCACAATACCCCTAAATAAATATCACATAACAAAGAGCAGTTAGATATAATAAGTAATAATAAAATGAACGTTCAGATAACAGATACAAAAGAGCAATAAATATTACCTATCTCAATATCTGTGTGGGGAAAAAGTATCTCTCTCTATTTAACCGCAGAAGGCAAACTACTTTTGACCAAACCGCAATGGGTAAATTGTAATTTACCCAAATGTGATTTCACTTTAATCCTAAGTTTTGATGATTTTCTGCTTTGAAAACTCAAGTAATTGTTCTAGTTCCATCATCACTAAGGGTAGAAGCAAAACAGCTCTTGGTCAGTCCTTCCCAAGGGGGACTACAATTGGCTTCTCTTCTCGCACACTGGAGTTATCTCAAAAATGGCCACCAAAGCAATTGAAACGCAGCTCGAAAAACATCCCAGCTATGTATGTTTTTGGTGATTCTCTCTTTGAAAATGGGAATAGCTACTATCTTGGGGCTCTCACAAATGAAGCATGATTTCTTCCTTATGGTATAGATTTTGGTGGCAAACCTACCGGCCGATGCACAAACAGCAAAACAGTGGTTGATTACCTTGGTAAGACACCCCTACAACAACTTCACTATTTTCCAAGATCTTAGCATTCTCTGATCCACCCAAGGATAGTTTCATTCTGATACAAAATTTTGCATTTGCCCACAAGTTAATCCGTGTTTCATATGTTATGCAGCTATACTTCTTGGGCTTCCACTCCCCCTTGCCTACCTTGTTCTTTCAAAGCATCAAAGAAGCAAAATCACCACGGGGATTACTTACGCATCTGCTGGTTCTGGAATTCAACAAGAAACCAACAATGTAAAAGTCTTACTCTTACCTCTTTTCACTAATTCATCACCAGGACTGTTTTATGTTTGTTTTAGTTCTTGCTTTTAGCCTACTATTTTATATTCTTTATTTGCAGGAGACAAGTTTGACATTACCCATCCACCTGAAGCTCTTTAAGAGAACTGTTCAAAATGACTTACCAAAGATGTTCAAGGAGCAAGTAGTGTTGGAGAGGCATCTATCCGAATCCTTGTTTGCTATCAATGCAGGGTTCCATGACTACGGCCAGATTAAAAACAAAATCTTGCCTTCTCCTAGCTCATTTACTCTGTTCGTGTTAAAAGAATTTTCCAGACACCTGCAGGTAATATTTGTTAATCTTCAAGTTAATAATACAGAATTTTTCGAGTGAAATAACACTTTTACCCCCTTTTCTCTTCCTTTTGGCCGTGTTAGTTGCAGTCTGGGCTTCCTGGCCTTATCTTTGTACATTCAGATATTAATAGGTTCCTCATAGAGATGAGGACCACTGCACACAAATATGGTACATAGAAAGCCAAATGCATCAGGCAGTAACTCATAAGATTGTCATAGCATAATTGACCAATGATTTGAAGAATAACTGCTTGCCTTTGCAGGGATATTGGATACATGGAAGCCTTGCTGCCCTAATAGCATTGATGGTGATCTCAGGTGCCATCGCAACACTATTCCCTGTGGAAACAGAAACACTCACCTTTACCTTGATGATCACCCAAGTCAGATCATAAATGACATATATGTAAGACGCCGCTTCAATGAGACAACAATTTGCAGGCCTTGAGTCTCAATCAACCTGTGCATCCCTAGCAGCCAGTGACATTGATGCAATATTTTGATCAGTTGAATTCTGCTGAGATATTGAGAATCTTGTAAATTAAGAGTAACATGCTATGAGGTATAATGCACCTAAGTTATAGGTGTCTTCGTATGGTTATAGCATTGGAATAAATAACGTCTGAGGGATAATCTAATCAATGAATTGACTATAATACGCAGAGCAGCATATAATTATATATATATATATATATATATTTATTTATTATATGAAGAAAGAAGTTCTGATTGAAACCAAATGAATTTAAAGAAATTAGTATAGATCAGGAACTTACAAACAAGAGCAACATTTCCTAGTTTGGTAATACGGAATATGGAGGAATGGGTGAACATGTCTAGCCTATATTTCACAGATACCAATGTCACCAAAAAATGAAGTGAAAATTTGAATACATGGTGATCAAATCCTAAATTACACAATTGTCTGAAGAAGAATACCAACAAGAGAGCATAATATCAACCTTGTGGGAGAGAATTGAAACAAAAATTTACTAGAAAACAAAATAGTGAAAATTACAATTGGAAACTATATCAGGGCAATCAGATCACCTCTAATTAATTAAGCCAGTTTTCCTGACTATATATTGAACAAGATGAATATTGTCCGTGAGAGCCACTTAAATTTCAGAATTCATGCTCTAATATCTGTGGTATTTACAATTATTAGTATTATTAATCATGTTGAAACTAAAAATTCCCTCACCAGCGGGAAATCTGATTAAACTTCACCAAGTTTGCCGAGTCAGCAAGGGCTAAAGGTAGAGATGGACCTCATACTTTCATTTCCAAGTAGATCCAATTAGAGAGCCAGAAGGAATGCAGTGAGCCATTTCATTGGCTATTCAGAAAGTAAACCAGTTTTAATCATTCCAGCAAGTAGTTCAGAAGCTGAACTGTGAACACCGCTTTCAGAAAATGCATTTAGCATCGTCTTGCAAAGTTCTTCATCAGGAGAAATATCATTAGATAACATCATGGAAAAGAAATACTTTGCTTCAGAAATAAAACGTCTTTTGCACAATCTATTGATTACAGCACTGTAATCACTGATTGAAATTTGAAATCGCTTTTCAATCATTTTATGGAAGAAAAGAACAGCCCTGTGGACATCACCTTTTGCACAATGTGCTTTTATCATTACAGCGTAAGCAACTTTGGACAAACAGACATTCTGATCTTCAAGAGCAATTAGCAGTCTATCAGCATATTCTAGGCCACCATTAATGCAAAGGCCATTGATCAAAACATTATACGTTGAAGGAGTAGGCTCCATTTTCAGCCTTAACATCTCATTGAACAATTGGAAGGCTCTTTCCATGTTGTGACCCTTACAGAAATAGTGGATGACAGTATTATATGTAATTTGATCTGGATGTAAACCCTTAGAGTGCATATCATTAAGCACTTGGAGGGAATCATTCAGCCTGCAATTTTTGCAAAGAGATTTGATAATTACAGTATAAGTAATGTGAGTTGGAATTACATTATTTGCTTCCATCTCTTGTAGTAATTCAATCACGCCCTGCATATATCCAGCTTCACACAATGCATTCATAAGAGTGGTGTAAGTTATGGCATTTGGCAATAGGCCATAACGTCTAATGTGTTGAAACAATTTTCTGGCCTGCCCTAAGTTCTTTTTCTTGCAGAATCCATAAATCATGGAATTGAAAGTAACAATAGTAGGAGCAATTCCCTTCTCAATAACTCTTTTATACAACTGTGAAGCTTCCTCAATATTGCCAAACTTTACATATCTGTCAATCATAATATTATAAAAAACTATATTCTGTGGTTCATTGCTCGTCAGATCTTCAAAATACTTTCTAGCCTCCATTGTTATTCCATTTTCGCACATAGCTACCAGAAAAGAACTGTGAATGAAAGAATTTGGGAAGAATCTGTTAGAACAGATTTCCCTATAAAACTTTAAAGCACTCTGGACTTCTCCTAGCTTGCAAAGCCCATGAATCAGAACAGAATATGTTATGAGATCTGGTTTCAGGCCTGAAGTTTCCATGTCATAGAACAATCTTAGTGCTTCCTCAACACGTCCAAATTTGCACAAACTACTGAGTAATACACAGTATGGAATGAGACTCAACTGAAATCCAAGAGAAACCATCTCCTCCAGCAACTTCATACCTTCTTCAATATTGCCCATCTGACAATGCCCGCAAATTAGTATTGTATACGTAACAACATTAGGATTTAATCCAGCCCACAACATGTCCTGAATGAGCTGCCAAACCCCATCTATTAAGCCAAGTAAGAGAAACCCTTTGACGAGAATGTTGTAGGTTACTATATCAGGCTTTATCCCCTGATTTTTCATGTGGTCTATAAAATTTAGAGCTTCCTCTATGGAACCAGCTATACACAAACCATGAATTAAAATATTGTAACTATACGCATCAGGAAACAGACCATGCTTAAGCATCATACAGAACAAAGATTTTGCAACATCTACAAAACCCAATTTACAAAATCTTGACATAATTGTATTGAAGGAAACGACAGAAGGGCCAAGTCCATTTGCCTTAGAATGCCTCAAAAATAGAATGGCATCTTCTAGCCTAGCCTGCTCACATAGGCCACCTATGAGAATGGAGCTAGTATACTCGTTTTCACAAGCCCCATTGTGCCTCATTTTATTGTAGATATCCCAAAACATTTCACTATGTTTTAAGTTATGCAACAAGCTATTATAGGTAGGTGTAGAAGCCGGAAAATTTAAGTCTTTCATATATGCCAGAACAAGCAAGGCATCATTAACCGTCTCATATCTTGAATAAGCAAAAGCCAATGCATCCCATACCACACTATTTGAGTCCCAGCCCCTGAAACTCCTCACGAGCAGCTCACAAAGTAAGGGAGCAGAACCAGAACCTATAAGAAATAGTATAAATTAAAAAGATTTTTATAAAAAAAATGAACAAGAAAAAAGAAAGGAAATATTAATTAAAAGCAATATGAATAATAATAAGGACAGAAGAAATGATTTATAACATTTTCTAACCAGATAATACATTACATTAATCTTAAAAATGAATTTATCGAATTTATATAGTTGATATGGATTTCAGTTTAAAAACTGATCTATAGAGAGCAACAATCTGCATATAGCTTCTCGACCCTACAAGATCGTTTTGAAGACTTTAACAATAAATTTTTTCTCTTTAAGTAACATAGATTCGAATCTGTTTCTGTCTATTACTTAACCACTTCTCCCTTTAATGTTGCTGGTTGATTGGCTTCCTCGGGTCTTTCACAATAGGACTCTTTTGATATCTAGACCTCCCCTCCCCAACCCTACTGAGTTGAATCCGTGACAGCACAGTGATTCGTCAAATCTGTTGCACCAACTTGTTGCAAGACAATAAGTGCAGAGCAGAGTAAGTAGAGAACGCCCAAGCAATGAGTAGTTTCTAGCAGAGTCATCTTTAAGTCAGTAAGAAAATATTGTCAGGAATTTCGGGTTTAGTTGAGGTGACTAATTTAAGCGTACCATTAGACCAGTTATACTTTCAGGTTACTTTATTGAAAACCTTCTGTTTATCTGTTGTCTTTGATCGTGAATGTAGACAAAAGGATCGACCAGATTTTGCTTTCTCTCACTCACTCTAAGTTCCCTCAACCTGCTCCTAAGCTTATCATACCTGAAACACAAATAAGTGATTTCCAAAGTAGACCATGCAGTCGTACCTTCCTGTACAAGCATTTGCTTTATGACCAACTGCAGGTCCCCAAACCGCCTTTGACTTGCTAAAACATGCGCAACAACAAACTGGGAACCCCTGGAGTGTCGAAACCCATAGTCATTCCTCAAGGCATAAAAGAAGAACAACGCAGCATCTGAATTCTCTCTCCTCAGAAAATCGATAATTTGATCCACCTGGGGCTGATTCAACTTCCAAAATACGGAACGGAAATATTCACCGGCAAGGAAATTTCTCAAGCCAAAATTCCTCAAACCCGTGAGAACTTCACAAACTGGGTTAACCGCGCTAGGATCGACAGAGGAGGAACTGACAGGCTCATTTTCAAGCTTCGCAGCAGAGACTGAGTGTTTGTTGAAAATGAAGATTGTGAACGGACAAAGGCATGCAAATTTTCGTGGAAAATGGTGGGGTTTCCATTTGTGGACGCGCCTGAGCATGGAAGAGCAGCTAGGGTACAAGAGTGGGACTCTCCTATATTTCAAGAAAATGAGGAGAAAAGGAAAAAGGGATCATTAGGTGTGAGGTTTGGAGTGCAAGTTCTTACCTTTTCTCTGCCCAGGCAAGGTTTAACGGTGGGAGTGATGGTTGAATGAAGCAGAAGGATTTCTGAACCGTTGGCTTTCGCGGCCGTTTTGACCGCCGACGGCACATAAATTACCCTAAAACGGTATAATTTAGGGTGTGTTTGGATGAAACCAAACCGTGGTTTGGAAAAGTGATTCTGGAGAATAGATTCTGAAAAAAATAAATTCTGTGAAGAATAGATTTTGTAAAAAGTGATTCTGAGAAGTGAGAGTGTTTGGATAGTTGTTATCAGAAGCACTTTTATATATACAAATTACTAAAAAAAAGACATAAGTTAATATGATAATTACAGAAAAAATAGATTTTATGATATATTTTAATTTGAAGAAATAAAATTGTTAATAATATGTTTTTTACCAACATAATTAATAATACATAAGATAATATAATTAATAAATAATTAATGTCTATATATATTTATAAAATATAAGATTAAATATATTTATAAAAAAATATGTTTATAAAAAAAATAACAAGATACATATCATATAGGCCCTCACACTCTCCCTTTTTTCTCCAAAAGCAAAAAAATTTTGCTTTTTTCCAAAACCATGGTTTTGACCCAAAACCATGGTTTTGGTTTTTGGAGAGGCTGTTTGGGTAGCATTTTCCCCAAACCATGGTTTGGGTCCCCAAACCATGGTTTGGGGTGCTATCCAAACAGAGCCTTAAAACACTGTTTATATGGGAAAAATACAAATATTGCTTGGGAAAAAAGGACAATTAGTCTTACATAAGAGAATTAAATATAAAAAGATTCTTTAAAATTATCAAATTATTCTGAAATCCTAAGGAACCTCATTGCAAAAGATTTTATTTATTTAATTATCAAATTATCCTTTTTTTAAAGTATGCATTAATAATTGAAAGAGCGTCCATTAACAACTTAAAGTGTAACGATTAACGACTATCGTGATAAGTATTAACAACACATTTTCTCAACGCATCACAAAAATATAATGTATGAGTTATCAATATTTGTCGTGATAGTTGTTAATTGTTACATGTTAAATTGTTAACGACTGTATTTTTAGTTGTCAATACATACTTTAAAGAAAAAAATAAAGACAATTTGGTAATTAAACAAATAAAATTTCTTGTAACGACGTCCATTAGGACTTTAGATTAATTTGATGATTTTAAAGGATCTTTTTGTATTTAATTCTTTTGGGTGAGACCTTATTACTCACCCCCTTTCTCTCTCAACAACCTCACCAACTCTATCCCCTCCTCACTCCTTCGATCCCTCTATCCTGCTAGATTAACTATCTTCTTCACCCTGGTTTTTAATAGAACCCTTTCCTCTTAAACTAGAGCTTGCTTTGAATCTTCAAGTGCTCGCTAGAGAAAAAGGCAAAGGTTGGAGGGGTGCTATCAGTGACGTAAGCTGCATCTTGAAGCTTGTGTAGTCCATTGTTGAGAGTTTTGTTGGTGTGTTGCTTCTCCTCCAGCTCTTATGACTACAGTTGCTAACCAGTACAACTAAGCAATGCTGAGCAATTTTTTTTTCCTTTGCTGGTTATGTTTCCATACCCACTCCATGTCCTCTAGCTTTTATGACTACAATTGCCAACCAATACAACTGAGCAATGCTGAGCAAATTTTTTACTTTGATGGTTATGTTCCCATACCTACTCCATGTCCTTCACTAATTAAAAAAAAAAAAATCAAGCCACGATTAGTAAAATGGCTAAAATAATCAGTTCTTATTGATACTATTATAGTTTAATGATTGAGTTCAACAACAAATTTAATGATTAGCAGCTAAAAAACAATATGGGTTGATTTAGATTAGGCCATCTTTCATTCTTCTATTTTTGTTCTGTCACTCATATTTTTTATGGTTACTAATTCAACTAATTTTGATATTAGAGAAGGGGAATGGCTATGCCTTATTCATATTGTAAGTCACGCATGGTGAATCAAAATGTAATATATTGAAAGCATAAAGTGGTTGTAAGAGTTTATTGTTTAGTTATCATTTAATATAGTGAAAGTTTTTACTCTAATATTGTGCATTGTCATGAGGAGAAATTCTTGCATGCTCTTGGAATGCTAGCTCAAATAAACTCTGACTAATCAAAAAATAACACCTCATTCAATTTTAATCCTAGTTGGCTCTTCTCATCAACGGACAATTGACGGCGCTATAGGAACTTGATCTTCATCTCTTCACTTGACTTCTCCAGTTACCATTGTTCTTTTCTCTTCCCTCCCCCTACCTTCCTGTCCTCCTCCTTCCAGGCAACCCCATTCCTCTTCTCTCTCTCTCTCTCACAGTCAATCACCCTCCCACACCACCTCCTCCTCCTTCTTATGCTACACCGACCCCAGATTGGTTTTTCCTAAGGTCACCCCCTTCACCACCAATAAAAAATCAATTGGTTTCTCACACTGACTGTGAATTGCAGCATTATTGAAGAGGTCGTCACCAAATCATCATATTCATCTCTTTTTCCCTTCCTTCCCTTTCATTTTCTTCTCAAGGCTTTTCCCAGATTCTAAACTTTATAAAATTTAGACATGGTTAATTGATTCTTTCATGGCCTTGGCTTTTTGGGTTTTATGGGTAACTGTTTGGAGGGCCAAAGGTTTCTCCTTTCTCATTATTCTCTTCATAGTAATAGGGGCAGAGGGCATACACATGTGTGTGGGTTTACTTCTGTGGTGAAGGGGTTTTTGTGGGAAAAGGAATTTTTAAGGTTGAAATTACGTACAAGTGTGTACGATGCAAATGCAAGATGGAGGAGCAAGGTTCCATAGGTGATTGAAGAGGAATGTAGTAGGAGGGAAGAGGAGATAATGGCGGTGACAGGAGAAGTCAAGGGAAGGGATGGGAATCACATTTCCTGTGGCACCATCAATGGTCTATTTATGTGGAGAGCCAACTAGGATTAAAACTGAATGAGGTGTTATTTTTTGATTGGTCAGGGTTGATGTGAGCTGGTACTCTCGGGCATACAAGAATTTCTCTTGTCATGAGCTTGCTTAGTTATTAATCAATATTTAATGTGAACTTTTTAACACCTAATGAGTTGTTATTTATAACAGGTACTTGTTAATATTTAATGTGAATTGGATTGCATATGCCTCATTCTTATAAATGTAGGACTTTATTGGTGAATCTATAATGAAGTTGTGTCACATCATAATTATATTCAGAGCATGGTAAAACTATAATTAGATGCATTTTTAATGATATTGTGTTATTAATTTGATGAACTTCGTGGATGGAGGAGCCATAGCGAGTATTGCTATCAATGGAAATCTTGAAACATTTATACGTCATTGACTAGTTGATTTTTTGTCATCTATTATTACATTGTGGTTAATCACAATTTACTAACAATACAAAAAAAAATTGAAACTTGTAACTATTTATTAAAATAGTGAGTAAAGGCTTATCTAGTACAGTTATTTGCTGTGAAGTTATAGTTACTAGCTCGTTTAGTGAGTTCAATGCAAGTATAATGGAGATTGAACAAAGAAAGCACTACCAAAAAAACCTTGGTGTTGACTAGGTAGTTTGTTGGCTAGTTGGTATAGTTTGCTCTGATAGGTTGATGTTGTCTTGTATAACAAGGATTGAACAAGGAAAGCACTACCAAAAAAATCTTGGTGTTGACTAGCTAGTTTGTTGGCTAATTGGTATAGTTTGCTCTAATAGGTTGATGTTGTCTTGTATATGTAGTTTGTTGTCCAGAAATGTATCATATAATGCTGTTCATTTGGTGTTTAGATAGTTGATTATTCTTCTTCTAAATGATTGTTCCCAAATTCATAGCAAAGGGTTTGAAGAGCATGCATAACCTTGTTGACAAACTTGGAATTAATTACTTACCCTTTTGCTCAAAAGAGACTATAGTGTACATATGTTGATATGGTTGAGCAAATGGGATCCAAGTATAGCATTAGAATATATTAATGAACATGTGATTGCATTTAGATGTGATCTCTTGTGGTGGCTGGTTAACTATGATGAAAATTGTAAAAAAGCTAAAACTTTAAAGTTGCTTGAACAAAGTGGCAGCACTTGTGTCACGGCCCGAACTTAAGGGTGACCGGCATGAAATACGAGAAATGGCTCATACTTCTTAAGCCTTAAAGTATAACTAAGCTTTTGATAAACAACATTATGACATTTGTAGCCACATATAATTATCGTTATAATTTAGGAAGATATATACATATGTACTACATTTCCCTTAATCAAAAAATTAGGATTTTTATGGAAATTTTGGCAGAGTCTCCCCTAAAAGGTAGACTTCCCAAAGGTCCCACAGCAATTTGGCAAGTTTTATACAACATAAGGAGCTCCGCTCCACAGCAACATATAAAAACATATATCTCAAAATAACAAAGAAGACAGGGTCCTGCCTATAGGGTATGTGGAGCGACTCTACTAGAATGTACAAAAGCATATTTAAATATTTACATCAACTGCAAAGTTCCAAAAGCTTCTTATCCCAAGTGAGCTTCAAGAATCAATTGGAGGAGCAGGTTCACTTCTACTATCTGAATGACAAAAATCATCTCCAAGTAAATAACCTCCCCACAATAACGATTAGGGAAAAAAAACAATATCATCAAATGTATGAAGCTATGACAGGTATGATAACTCAAATTCGTAAATCAGAACAATTGACTTATTTGTTAATTAATTAGAAAACTAAGAATACAAAACAAGCAAGGAATAAATATAACTCTTAGGGAAATTAATAAAGTAGAATTTGAAATCACTTTTGTTTAATATTAAGACTTCCATAGAACAGTAACAGGCATAGACACATAGTCCACGAGGGTAAATAACATGTCCGGCGTAGCTCAAAGCCACAAAAACAGGCGTGAGAACAAAGCTTACGAAAACAGGCATGAGTACTACTCACGAAATCCATCCTTCGTTCCATATGTGTTGGCTGTCACACGGGGCTAGCACCTCTCAAATTCACCCTGCTAGCTAGGTGTGCCATGGCGCGCCAAAGGCTAACAGAACTGCTGTTAGCAACCAGTGTTCTGTTTTCGGTCCTTTGAAAACAATTTCCCTCATACA